ACTAGTTTCAGTAGGCAATTGCAATGGATCGTAAACAGCAGGAGCGCTTGCTCAAATGGTTTGACGAGATCGAATCTGAATCTTTTTGTTCAGACAGTGAGAGAATGAGGGTGATTGTTGTTACTCTTCGCCTTCAGATCTTGATTCAGAATCAGACGAAAATCTGAATCCTACTTTCTGGGAGTGAATTGAACAGTTCTTCAGAATTTTCTAATGCCGGTATTCCTTCTGCTAATCACGATGCAGATAGTAACTGGCATAGCGATGTTGCCACTATCAACGGTTTTTCGAAATATTTTTTAAATGAAAAAAAATCATACGAAGGGCCTGTTGGAAACACCAATCAAAATATTTTGTTATCATGGTGTGATAAGATTATGACCCTTCTGGACAATTCTACAAATCTATACGAACAGCTGGTTAACGGAAAAACAGTTTTTAACAGATCTCGTTTAAATACCCGTTTCTCCAAAGAGTGTGAATTTCAGATGTAGAACTCTATAAATATTGAATTGTGTTCGCTACAGAGCCAGTTCAAAACTGAAAATAAAAGAAAACTGTAGTTTTGAATCATTTATCATCTCATTTTTTCTATTGTGACGAATGGAAGGTTTTTGCAAATTTTGCAAGACACAATTGAGAGAAAGTTCCCGACAATGATAGATCGCAGAAAGTGCATAGATTTGTGTATTAGCAGATTCCAGTCATTAGCCACCGAGTCAATTGTCCCTTGATTAATCACTTCTCTTATTTCATGGATGTCTGTCTTTTCATACTTACACAGAAAATAAAGTGGGGAAAATTGTTATGAACTTTGTTCTTCAAAGGGTTATATTTTGAACCTTGAAATATACAAAGAGCAAAGGGAAAATTTACTGGATGCGACATATGATAAATTGAAGCACTTTCTGTTTCTGGACTTTTGAAGCCACATGTTAACAAGAGATACCATCTTTTCATGAATAACTCTTGGGTTGTTTCGAAAATTTTGGCGTTTTTATGAGCCTACTTTAAATTGTGATATCTCAGTGCGGACGGGCGTTGTCGTGGAGCAAGATTGGACCTCTTCTGTTTACCAGTGCCCCAGCTACTGCTGATGCAATTTTCGGTACATTTCATTTTTTCTCATAATAGAACTCTACTGTAATTGGCTCGATTGCAGAAAGTTATAGTGAATCACACCAGCCCCCGACCACCAATGGTGTCCAACCACTGTTAGGAACGTCTCCTGTTGTCATACAGTACCTATTTTTCATCACACGTGACGATCTGATCCAAAAAAGGATCGTTTTGGGTGCTCAAAAGCAAACAAGAACAGACCTAGAAACGTGAAAATTTCTGTCGAGCTTTCAAACCATGGGAGCTTCAAGACCTTTCCAATACGTTTTGAACCATTACAAACCACATGAGAGTTGAAGCCCAGTTCTTCCGCCATCCCACGCATCGCTTGTGGTGGATCAGTCTCCAGCAGGGTACTCAAATCCTGGATTACTGTAGGTCGATCACTTCGGGGCTCATCTTCGAGGCTAAAATCTCCGGAACGAAATTTTGCAAACCAACGTCGAACAGTGCATTCATTAACAAACACTATCATTGCCAAATGCCTGGTTAATTTTTCAGTCTGTTTCGGCTCGAATTTGTAGAGAAAAATTGGCCAAATGAATATAGAGTTCGAAATTCTCTATCGAACACTATACCCCACGACACAGTAGAATAAATAATTATTGAGATATGTAGCTACAAAAACACATATAAAAACGGACAAGACTTTTTGAAACAACCTAATATGATAGTGTGGAATTGGCTAACCGACAAAAAACTCAAGAAAGTCGAATACACATGGAAAAGAAGGGCAAGCATACCGTTATATGTGTCAAAGTGAAAGATAAGCGCGATGTTCTTGCATTTGTAACATCACGAAACCGAATAATTCAAGAATGATATTTCAAAATAATAGTAGAAACTACTTTCATGAACCTAACATAACATTTGTATGCATAAATATAGGATTTTTGAAAAAACGTGGGTGATTTTTTTTGACAGTTCAAGACACCCTACTGAGCCGTCAATGTGTTAAGGGCATTAAATTATATAAAAATATGCATTCAAAAATGTTAGAAATGGAAGGACCCCCGAATCGAACATTTATTGCATCGCTAACATTTTTTTCTGTATTTGAATTATTTCAATTTTTATCACAATTATACTGTTTGCTTCCGATGTTTTTATTGGTAATATTTCATTTTTAGCTTATCGAAATATATATTATGTATTTCTGTTGAAGACCATGTTTCAGATAATCATCAAAGATATGAGTATACATATTTCTTATTACCGATTCATATTTCCACACACAAAACTGAGAAAAAAAAGAGACCTTGTTTGGTTTTTATTCAACCAATTTTAAAACAATATATTTTGGTGGTGAATTTCGAGATGGATTCCGCAAAGGTATTTCAATTAATCAATCAATCAAATATTTATTGAATCGGTTTTCCTTTATAATCACATAACATAACATCATCATAAAATAAGTTAATAAACTACAATCAAATTGGGATTTAAGGACAAACATCCACAGAGTAGTATGCTTTTTGTAATAGAAAAATCTTGAGTCGCCTTTTAGAGACATTGATATTTGATGATTTAATGTCCTCACCAAGCTTATATATAACTTAACCCAACAGCACATGGGGTGATTCTTTGATACTGTCAATCTACTATAAGGTTGATGAAGTTGAGAGTTATTTCTGGTGAAATGTTCATGGATTTGCTCATTTCTAGGAATAATTGAAATATTGTAACTATAATAATATATAAACTATAACGAATGAATAATGGCCTGCAGTATTCACTTGAAGATGCACCAGCCAGAATTCTGATAACCTTTTTCTGAATAACAAAAACTTCATCAGCTTTGGCTGATAAACCCCAATGTTTAAGACCATAGGAAATCACTGACTGAATTTAACTGTGGTATAAAAGATGCACCAGCCAGAATTCTGATAACCTTTTTCTGAATAACAAAAACTTCATCAGCTTTGGCTGATAAACCCCAACGTTTAAGACCATAGGAAATCACTGACTGAATTTAACTGTGGTATAAAAGCTTGAGAACATCAAGAGGGACTGTTTGTTTTAACCGACGAAGTAAATATATATGTTTACTGAGCTTCAGTTTGACACTATCAACATAGAACTTCCAGGTAAGTTTATTATCAATATAAACACCTAAAAATTTGGTACAATTAACTTGATGTAAAGTTTCATCATTTATCTAACCAAATAGCTTTTATCAATTGTTGTATTTTTAGTAACAAAGTTGAGTATTTGAGATTTAGCAGAACTCAACTCAGAAATTTGATCAGTTACTTCATTAGCTTTGACAATTACTTCGGACATAGTTCCCGCAGATACTAAGATGTTAGTGTCATCCACAAAAATAAGTAATGGAAGCTTTTGAACAAAATTTCGGAAGATTATTTATAAAAAACAAAAATAGAAGGTGTCCCAAAACAGAGCCTTGAGGTACCCCTCTTGATATATATTTTCTTTAAGAATTCATTCCATTCACACAGACCAACTGACTACGATCAGTCAGGTAAGATCCAACCCAATTCGATGCAGAGCCACTTATACCATAAAACTGCAGTTTGTGTAACAGTTTGTTATTGCTCAAATCAAAAAATAATCCTAGATTCTGCTCCAAGATTTCCAGTACATTTTTCCTTGAGACTCCCATTCATTTAAACTATTTTCCGGGTTTTTATGCCTAACGTTTCGTCTACTGCGGTAGACTTTATTGAAGGCGATATGGTAACAGTCGCAGTGCCAGTTACCGAAACCACATCGCCTTTGATAATATATACCGCAGTAGTAGACGAAACGTCACATAATTTGCTCTTCTCCTATGATCTAGTACCTAACATTCATGATTTGAGTTCTCATCAAGCCCAAACAAGTAGTATTTTCTTCACAGCTCCTTAATAACCGTTCTTTACTTCCCAATAGTTGGTGGTTCTACTTTCATATGGCATTATATCCTTTATTATGCATATATTAGCTGACCACATGCTAATAAGCGAACTGAGATTTTCATTTTATATCTGAAACATCAATGGACTCACTGAATAAATTATAACCTACCTTGGTGTTTATGTAATTACCAAAAAGTAGCTCGGCCCAGGCTAGTCGATTATTGTCAGAGCTGGACGCGAGTAAGAAAAATATGTTTTTTTACAGTCGAAATAGATGGAAAAAAGTAAGCCCTGAAGCGGCATTTGAACGGATTCAACAGGAAAAAGGTAGAGAAATAGCCAAAAAGTCAACAACGAAGCTCCAAGCTTGAAATTTATATATAGAAAGAAATATTTACACACTTCACTACCAACTGATATGTTATAATTCAAATAATGATTTTCATATATTATTTGCAAAAAACAGGCAAATATACAAAATAATTTTTTTTTTAAATGTCAAGTACTAAAAGGTCTACCTTGGGACAAAATTTGAAATGTTTATTAAAGTTTCAGGGCATACTATGATATTTTTTCTTAGTCGAAAATCGGGATTTTTTATTAGCGATTTTTTTATTGAAAAAATCACTACGCCACTGGATTCAGAGTGCCTCTAAACAGGTGTGACCAAAATTTCATGAAAAAATATTCATTATTAACA